CCCCCCGTGGGCTACCTTCCGGCGAGGTGGTGGCCCCCCAGCCCGAGGTGACGCAGGCGGTGCCGGGCCGGGGCAGGCAGGAGGCCACGGCGATGGGCCGGACGCGCTCGGACAGGGCGGCCGGAGCCAGGAGCTTGAGCATCATGATGTCGTTGTCCTTGGAGGAGGCGTCGTAGCCCGGGTGGGGCACCCGCTTGGCCACCACGCGCCGCTGCTCGCCCGCCTCGCGCCCGTACAGCCGGTGCTTGCCCAGCGCCACCGTGGTCACCCTGCCGGACACGAGTGACCACCAGCTGACCACGAGGTGACCACAAGATGGTTGAGGTGGCCACAAGGTGACCAGATGTCTACGAGGTGACCCAGGTGACCATGAGGTGGTCAAGGTGGCCAGGAGGCCACCAAGGTGACCAGGAAAGGACCCAGGTGGCCAGGAGGTGGCCAAGATGACCAGGAGGTGACCCAGGTGACCATGAGGTGGCCAAGGTGACCCAGGTGACCAGGAGGTGGCCAAGGTGACCAGGAGGTGACCCAGGTGGCCAGGAGGTGACCCAGATGACCACGAGGTGACCAAGGTGACCAGGAGCTGATCAGATATCCCTGGGGTGACCCAGATGACCACAAGGTGGCCAAGGTGACCACAAGGTGGCCAAGGTGACCAGGAGGTGACCCAGATGACCATGAGGTGACCAAGGTGACCACAAGGTGACCAGATGTCCATGGGGTGACCCAGGTGACCAGGAGGTGGCCAAGGGGATCTGGAGGTGGTCAAGGTGACCACAAGGTGACCAGATGTCTATGAGATGACCAAGGCGACCAGGAGGTGACCAAGGTGGCCCCAAGGTGGCCAGGAGGTCACCAAGGTGACCGGGAAAGGACCCAGGTGACCAAGAGGTGACCAGATGTCCATGAGGTGACCAGGTGACCCCCAAGGTGACCAGAAGGTGACCAGGTGACCAGGAGGTGACCAGGAGGTGACCCAAGTGACCAGGAGGGGATCATGTTGACCAGGAGAGGACCCAGGTGACCAGGAGGTGACCAGGTGACCACTAGAGGACACAGGTGACCCCCCCTTGGCCACCACGCGCCGCTGCTCGCCCGCCTCGCGCCCGGACAGCCGGTGCTTGCCCAGCGCCACCGTGGTCACCCTGCCGGGGGGGACACGACTGACCACAGGTGACCACGAGGTGGTCAAGGTGAGCGGGAGGTGGCCAAGGTGACCAGGAGGTGGCCAAGGTGACCAGGAGGTGGCCAAGGGGATCTGGAGGTGATCAAGGTGACCACAAGGTGACCAGGTGACCACAAGGTGACCCAGGTGACCAGGAGGTGGCCAAGGTGACCACAAGGTGACCAGATGTCTACGAGGTGACCAGGTGACCCCCAGGTGACCATGAGGTGACCCAGGTGGCCAGAAGGCGACCCAGATGACCATGAGGTGACCAAGGTGGCCAGGAGGCGACCCAGATGACCAGGAGGTGGCCAAGGTGACCAGGAGGTGACCAAGGTGACCATGAGGCGACCCAGATGACCATGAGGTGACCAAGGTGACCAGGAGCTGATCAGATGTCCCTGGGGTGACCCAGATGACCACAAGGTGGCCAAGGTGACCACAAGGTGGCCAAGGTGACCAGGAGGTGGCCAAGGTGGTCAGGAGGTGGCCAAGGTGACCATGAGGTGGCCAAGGTGGCCAGGAGGTGACCCAGGTGGCCAGGAGGTGACCCAGATGACCAGGAGGTGGCCAAGGTGACCAGGAGGTGACCCAGGTGGCCAGGAGGTGACCCAGATGACCACGAGGTGACTAAGGTGACCAGGAGCTGATCAGATGTCCATGGGGTGACCCAGATGACCACAAGGTGGCCAAGGTGACCACAAGGTGGCCAAGGTGACCAGGAGGTGGCCAAGGGGATCTGGAGGTGGCCAAGGTGACCACAAGGTGACCAGATGTCTATGAGATGACCCAGGTGACCATGAGGTGGCCAAGGTGACCAGGAGGTGACCAAGGTGACCACGAGGTGACCAAGGTGACCACGAGGTGACCAAGGTGACCCCAAGGTGGCCAAGGTGGCCAGGAGGCCACCAAGGTGACCACAAGGTGATCAGATGTCCATGGGGTGACCCAGATGACCACGAGATGACCAAGATGACCATGAGGTGGCCAAGGTGACCAGGAGGTCACCAAAGTGACCAGGAAAGGACCCAGGTGACCAAGAGGTGACCAGGTTATTTCGGGTCCGTTTTTTTGGGTTATTTTGGGGTTATTTTGGGGTTATTTTGGGTCAGTTTTTTGGGGTTATTTGGGGTTATTTTGGGTTATTTCGGGTCAGTTTTTTTGGGTCTGTGTTTTGGGGTTATTTTGGGTTAGTTTGGGTCCATTTTTTGGGTTATTTTGGGTTATTTTGGGTCAGTTTTTTGGGGTTATTTTGGGGTTATTTACGGTCAGATTTCAGGGGTATTTCAGGGTTATTTTGGGGTTATTTTGGGTTATTTCGGGTCAGTTTTTTGGGGTCAGTTTTTTGGGGTTATTTGGGGTTATTTTGAGGTTTTTTTGGGTTATTTTGGGGTTATTTTGGGGTTCATTTGGGTTATTTCAGGTCCATTTTTTGGGTTATTTTGGGTTATTTTGGGTTATTTCAGGTCCATTTTTTGGGTTATTTTGGG